CAGAGACCCAACAGTACCACTATGAGCAAGCACTTGGCGACGGGGGCATGGAAAAACTGCCTTTTAAGAGGTAGAAACTTGGACAGACCCTTCGGCTCTAGGTGGGTGGTCATCTGCCTCGATAGTAGTAACTGTAGTAATAATAATAGTAATAATAATATTAACAATATGTTTCCTATGACTACTTCACAATAAAGGTCAACTTGTCTTTCACCAGTTGAAGAACCAGTGTGTAGGATTTAGTGGCATCTAGTGGTTAAATTGTAGCTTACAATTAAGTGTGAAGGAGAAACTAAGGTGGCCGCAAAACTAAATTCTAGCTGTGAAAGTACGTCTATATGTCAACTAGAGGTAACAATGGTTGATACATTTTCATTATCATCCAGTGTGGTGAGAGGCGGCAACTTTTGAATGTTTCTTCATCTGATACATTAAAATAGTTCAATAGTTTACTTCACTTCAGAGCAGCAGCATACATGGAAAAAAAGGAAAACCAAATCAGTAAATTGTACAACTATCGCCCGGCTCAGCTCGCTGCTGTGCTTGCCTACGGCTTTCACTGAACCTTTCTCTTTCCTCTTCTAGTTCTCTTTCACGCTGTTCCTCTAAACATCTCATCATTTTTGCAAACTCCCTCTTTCTTTCCTCTGCCTCTCTTTTCCTTTCTGCTTCTGTTTTCTCCCTCTCCCTTCTCCTCTCCTCCTCCATCCTCTCCCTTTCCTTCCTTATTTCCCTCTCTTTCTTTCTTCTCTCCCTCTCTCTTTCAGCCTGGTGTTTCTCATAAATTTCCTTCATCTCTTTTTCGTATTTTTCCTGAATTTTCCTCTCCAGTTCCTCTTTTTCTTTTTGCATTTGCTCTTCTTTCTCTTTCAGGATGCGTTGTTTCTCCTCTTCAATTGCCCTTTCGGCCTCTTGAAACATCTCATTGGTGTAGTGGCTTCCTCCGTTCTTCTGGACTATATTTCTGATCTTCTGAAGCAGCTCTGTGACCTGAGAGCGGTCCTTCAGCTTATTGTTGAAGACATGGTACTGGCCGTTACATCTGGTAACGAGTTCCTGCAGGTCTGAGCTTCCAGCCAAGAACTCCTCGATAGTGGTGTTCTCAAGAAGGTCACCATGGGTAAAGAGAACCATGCTGTATCTGTCTGCGCCCTGGCCAAAGATTTCTTGAATCCTTTGCACTGTCTGCTTTTCCTCTTCAGTATATCTGCCCAGCATGATGACCACCAGGAATACATGGGGTCAGGAAGAGAAAAGAGATTGCACTGGCATAAATCTTTAGCTGTTTTGTCCATACCAAACCTGGTGTCCAAACAAGACCAGGGGTGGTCAATAACAGCAACCTGCTGCCCATCCACAACAGCTTTGCCCTTGGAACAGTCTACAGTCATAGACGCTGCACTGAACTTTGAGACAAAGCACTGTTGTCCCAGAATGGTGTTTCCAGTGGCACTTTTCCCATTCCCAGTCTTCCCCACCATCACCATTCTCAGCTCTGCATTATTTGGTCCTGTATGGGACAATAAGTAACATTAGATAAGAATTAATATTCTGAATATTCAAAAGCTTTTGTAAAGCAGTTTGTGCAGAACTCCAGTGAAGACATTTAGGTCCATAATTCAACATGGGCCCATTATAGAGTAGGGGTCCATCTCTCCTATCTAAGACAATGCGATACATCTAGATGCTTTGGCTACAATGCGATTTAGAGACGATGCAGTTTACTATGGGACACTTCAGTGCAATTTGATGCAATACGCTTCAATCTAATACAGTTCTTAACATTTGTTTAATGTAGACACTTATTATCCATTCTAAATAAAAATAAGCCAGTTCTGTAAAAGTGACATTGCTTACCTTCAAATAAATATATTTCATAAAATACCAGGGAATCCCAGTTTCTTTTGTTCTTTATGGCATGGGAATAAAATAATAAACAAATGTCTCATTTCATAATTGTCATTATGTTTATTGTTTAATATCTTGCGTGTTCTTGCTTGTGCTAGCTGTATTAGCATCCACAGACTTCTCGTCACCTACATAGGTCTCACTATGCCCTCCCATGCTGTGAGTGTTTTGTTTTGTCATGCTACTGTACTGCTACTGCTTTAAATGGTAAATGGTGAATGGACCTAGTCTTCCGACTACTCAAAGCTTTCACACACATTCACACAGCGATGGCAAAGCCCATCGAACAGAAACTAACACATTCATACACATTCACACATTGCTGTACATCAGGAGCAATTTGGGGTTCAGTATCTTGCTCAAGGATACTTTGTGGCAGGAGGAGCCGGGGATCGAACCAACAACCTTCCGATTAGGGGACAACCCGCTCTGCCTCTGCATTTTTATAGC